TAAAAAATATTTTTGATTTGTGTACTACCCTTTGTCTTTGGAAGATACTGTGGTAACCCCTACCTCTATCAAATATTGGTGACCAATCTTTACAGTCAGCACAATGCAGTCAGACAGGTAACATTCTACTGGCATCCACCAAACCCAGACTTGCCAAACCGACTGCCAAAGAAGAATTGTTATTCGTCACTCCACAGAACATGTTTCCTCTGCTCCAGATTGCAGTGGCGGCGTTTTTTACACAACTCGATCCGACGCTTGGCATTGTTCTTGGTGATGTGAGGCTTGCATGCAACTAATCGGCCATGGAAACCCATTCCAAAAAGCTCCCACTGTAAGTTTTTGTGATGATATTAATGCCAGTATGAGTTCTGAACTCTTCAGCTATGGAATCAGCAAAGTGTTGGCCACTTTTACGCACCACTAGGTAACCATGCTCTGTGACTTTACGTGGTCTTCTGCTTTGTGGCTGAGTTGTTGCTGTTCTAAACGCTTCCACTTACTTTAATAATACTACTTACATTTGCCCGTGGAATATCTAGCAGGGATGAAATGTCACAAACTGACTTATTGCAAAGGTGGCATCCTATCACAGAATAATGCTTGAATTCACTTCAGAACAGCCCATTTTTTTCTCAAATGTTAGTAAATGCAGACTGCATGGCTAGGTGCTTTATTTTATACACCTGTGACCAGGACCGTCTTTCCCCATGGACATGCTGGGCAGTTGCCCGGGGGCCCCACAAACATGGCGGCTGCCCAAGGGCCCAAAGCTTGGGGAGAGCCGAGGGTTACCATGGCAACGCTCCATACATCATTCTGCGTGCGGGAGAACAGGAGACAGCCTGCAGCCAGACGAGCTGCAGGCTACACAGAACTCACCACCGGACCACCTGGGCTGACTGTGTCCCCTCCTCCTTCACCAAAGGTAAGAAGAAGGGAGGGGGGATGAAGATTTTTATCACAGCACCCCCACACTCACACAGCACCTCTCAAACACACATCACCCCCACACACACACAGCACTCCTGACACACAGCACTACACACACACACACACACACACACACACAGACAGCACCCCCCCCACACACACCCACAGCTCCCCCCACACACCCAGTACTGCTCACGCACACAGCACCTTTCAGACACACACATACACACATACTCACTACCTCTCAGACACACACACACACAGCACCCTTCATACACACAGCACCCGTGCACACACACACAGCATCCGCACACACACTCACATACACTGCACCCCTCAATGCAGTATGTGTGTGTGTATTCAGCAGTCTGTGTATTAATCGTACTGTGTGTGTATTCAGCATACTGTGTGTATGTATTCATCAGTCTGTCTGTGTGCACTCAGCAGTCTGTGTGCACTCAGAAGGATGTCTGTGTGTTCTAAGCAGTGTATGTGCGTGTATTCAGCAGTCTGTGTGTGCATGTATTCAGCAGTCTGTGTGTGCATGTATTCAGCAGTCGGTGTGTGAATGTGTTTGGCAGTCTGTGACTGTATTTAGCAGTCTGTGTGTATGTGTTGTATGAGTGTATTGAATTTGCTGGAGGTACTAATAAACATAAGCTTAATTTTATCTATAAATTAAAATTTTTATTCTTGTGAGTTGTGTGTAGGCAGGGCTCCAGTGCACTGCTTTGCCCGGGGGCCCATAATGTTGTTAAAATGGCACTGCCTGTGACAATGGGTCCCATTTGAAGCACTTTAATTCAATAATTAATAGATGTCCCCCATTACTTTTGTCCATATAGTGTGTGTGTGTGTGTGTGTGTGTGTGTGTATATATATATATATATATATATATATATATATATATATATATATAAAATGTACAATGTTTCATGTTTTATATCATTAAACAGATTAGGAGCTAACCCAAGCTGACATAAAAATTGATTTCGAAACCTAGCTGGAAGGGAGGACAGTCTGACCATGCATTAAATAGGTATGTCTGGGCACACTGCATGCATATTGCACATACCAATACACAGTGGCGTACACACAATCCATGGGGCCCCGGTGCAAAACTGATCAGTGGCCCCCCCTCCATTTTCCCCCTCTACCTTGACCCTCCCCCCCGCCATTTCCCCCCTCTACCTTGACCTTCCCCCCTCTATCCTGACCCTCTCCCCCCTGACCGTAGGCCCCCCGACACATACATACAGACATAAACACATACACACACATAGACACACACACACATACAGAGAAACAGACACATAGACATAGACTGACACACACAAAACAGACACACACAGAGACACACACACACACACATACAGAGACACACACACAGAGAAACACACAGAGACACACACACACACACACACACATACAGAGACACACACACATACAGAGACACACATACGTACACACATACACAAAATGTTTCCTACCGTTTGTGAGGGTCCAGTGGTGGCTCAGCTTGATGGGAGTCAGAGTTCCCACTCTGACTCCTTCCTGCTTCCTCCCGCGCGGGCTTTCTGTATGCTGGGAGGAGTGACGGGGGAGTCACTTGCTCCCAGAAGTGATGTCATCACAGGGGGCCCTGTCGCGCTGTTAAAGCACCCAGTGCAGACCGGGCTCCCTGACAATCCATATCCATCGGGTGGCCCTGACAGCATGGGCCTCCCGATGGACCCCTTAACATGTGGCCCAGGCGGTTTACCACGCGGGCTGGGGCCGCAAAACGTGGCAGCTGGTACCCAGTCGTGGGGGTCTGCAGGGATGCTGGGCCCTCTGGAGTGACGGGCCCGGTCGCAAGTTGCGACCCATGCGACCACGGTATGTGCGCCGCTGCCAATACGTAAATTCGTTAAAGGCATTAGTACAAAAGTGACAAACAGCACTAGTTTATGAGAAAAATTTGTTTTTCTGGATAAAGTTTCAGTTTAAATAATAATTATAGTATCAAATATGGGGACAGTGATAGATCTATGTTATATGTGGTCAAAAAGGCTCTATTTTACACTGTTTGGCAGGCCTATCCTCAGTTCTTGCTCATGTAGTATTCGTTTATTTGTAAATAGTGCTTCTTTGGCACTGCTGACTTCTCCATGCCTACCGCAATGTAACGGAGAATGTATGGCCTCCTCCAGTCCAAGTTTCCTCATGGAGGCGCACTGGGCATAATATCAAAAGTCCAGTGAAATGACAGCTCCCCTTTAAATGAAGTAATAAGTCTTTTGCTAGTGCACAATAATTACATGTTTAGTGAATAGACCCACCAACTTCTGGTAAAACCAGAAAAGCCAATTGGGTAAGGGATATTGGACAACAATTGCTAGCTCTTTGAATCAGGCATCATTAAAATCTTTTTTCCAGGGAGAAATAGGTTACAGCGATAGAAAGGCAAGAATTCAGCATTGTGATGTGAAAGACGTTAATGTTAGAAATTTATCAGAATTGTTGACAATATAATTGCGCTGCGGTCCCAAGAGAGTAACTATTGAAGTCATTCAGAAATCCATGTAGCGGTCATTGACTTGCAAGTATGGCTTTCCCCAATTACTGGTCTCTAAAGGTATGGGTCATTGACTCCAATAACTCAGACTTGTTTAGCTGCGCCATTACATTACACGTATATTACAATATGCACCTATGTTCGAATACTAGATATATGGAGAATGTATGCCGTGTGGTGTAATGTGTAAACCGAATAGCTTTGGGATGATCATTACCAATGTATAATTGGGGAGAACAGCCATAAAGACATCTTTATTTTGCACATATGGTCCTATAACTATGACCCATGGGATCTATACATCCAGTATACCCCATTGCTTCTGCGTTGTGAAAGAGTTATTTACCACTCGGTCCGTTGTCAGAGATGTCATCTTTCAAGGACACAAATCAGTAGACTACAAGGCTTTCAGAGCTAACACTAAATGGCATTTTAATGGTAAAATACCTTGTGCTTGTATTGTGACGCTACCGTCATCCAGTAGACACATCATCTTGAATACAAGAGGAACAATGAATGACAGACATCTCCACTACTATATACAGTGGGACCTCGGTTTACAAACGCCTCAGTTAACATAATTTTCGGTTTACAAAGGAAAATCCATTGAAAATAATACCTCAGTTTACAAATTTTGGAGTGCATGTGTGCATGCTGGAGCCTGTAGGTAGCATGTGGCATCAAGTGTGGAGGCGTTGGAGCGGCTTTTGCATCGAGTTTTGGAGCCATTCTGGAAATTGTTTGCATTTGTTTTGGGACCTTTTGGTGTATTTCTCTACCTGTGGAAAGGTAGGGAGCTGAGCTTCGTCGTTTGTATGCCTTTTTGTGTGTTCTGCATTGTGGGTTGGTTTCCATGCCAGCTCATTTTGACTTTTTTCTGACCTCCAGAACGGATTCATTGGTTTTCAATGCATTCCTATGGGAAACCGCGTTTCGGTTTACAAATGTTTCGCAATAAGAAACGTCCCAGAGAACGCATTGAATTCGTAAACCGAGGTCCCACTGTACGTCTGTAGTGAGTTTTGACCTGCCAGCTGCTTTGAAAAACTTTTACAAAGCTGTAAAAAAACTAAAAATCTTTAATTTTCACAACTCATTTTTTGTATTTTTGATATTTTGGCATAAGTAATTAGCCAATTCACCTTTACTAGCTGTTGCTAATTTTTTTTTTTTTTTTAAATCTTTAATAAGGCAGCATATACCATAGCAAGGTACAGCTGGTGAAGAAAATATACAAATAATTCTGACAAAACACGTTAAGATGAAAATGAATGCTTTCCATGTAGGTTAACAGTCTACAGGAAGTATGGGATAATTACAAGGGAAAATAGAAGTCAAGGTATAACATATAAACAGCTATTATAAACTAATGTTATATTTAATTCAGTGCAATTCAGTATTTAGTAAATAAACCCCACAGTGTTCAGAGTAAGAAGAGAATACAATATAAATAGAAAAGGTCTACAGAACAGAAAAAATAAAAGACTCATAGAGTAGTATAGCCAGTATACATAAAATCACCAATTATTAAGTTGCACTCTTAATAATGGTGATTATTAAGTGCAACTTAATAATTGGTGATTTTATGTATACTGGCTATACTACTCTATGAGTCTTTTATTTTTTCTGTTCTGTAGACCTTTTCTATTTATATTGTATTGCGAGGATTGGGAGGAGTCCTGTTTTTTTCTACAGTCCAGAATCCATTAGGTATTTTTTATACCTGTTTGTGTGCTTGATCTGTTCTTAATTGGTGATTAGTGTGTTTTGTATAAGAAGAGAATACAGTATTAGATTAGGACAAGGCAGAAGGAAATATTGTTGTATGAGCTGAGGTAGCACTTTACTGTACAAGGAAGAAAAATTAAATAGGCAATAGATTAATGAATAAACATTTTAATTAGTTTATTTTGTTCTTAAATGTAAACTTTGGCTACATTTCGTCCCTCTGTATATGCCTACTGAAAGTCTGGTAATCTTAGTGACACAGGCTGTGCCAAATGCATCTGAAGTGCACCCACTTGTGATAAAGACATTATTTGACAAGCATTTTGTAAAGTAAGTTGAATATAAAACTGAAATCAGGAATTTCTATGCTGTTTAAAGGATGAATGTGGTCACCCAGACGACTTCATCTCAATGAAGTGGTCTGCGCGCAGTGGTCCTGTCCTTTTAACCTTGCAATGTAAAAGTTTGTAGTTTTTTTTAGCAACCCCATTTAATTTGCAGGGTTAATTACACCTCTAGTAGTTGTCTTCCTGACAGCCACTAGAGGCGCTTCCTCCTACACAACCAAGCAAAACTCAGCCCTGACATAGGAGCATTTGATTGGAGGAGCACAGTTTAAAAAAAATAAAAAATCTTTATGTATAATGTGGTTACAGAGTTTTGGAATGGATTGTATGAGATTGTGAGGGGTCAGCTTGGATGCTGACATCACTGAAAGAGGAGCTGAAGCCTGCAGTGGAGAAGACTCAATATTGGAAAGGAAGTGAACAAACTTTATTTTATTTAAATTTACAGAGCAATGGAGGGGTGGATAGTGATCATTTTAATAAGAGAAACCTAATGTTTCAAATACCCCACCTCCTATAGTCTGTAAACTCATTTGATCAGGGTCCTCTTCAACCTATTGTTCCTGTAAGTTTTCTTGTAATTGTCCTATTTATTGTTACATCCCCCCTCTCAAAATATTGTAAAGCGCTACGGAATCTGTTGGCGCTATATAAATGGCAATAACAGTAATAATAATAATAGTCCCGAAATAACGATTGTTATTTTTGGGAATGTAGGTCCCCTCTTTTTTGTCAAGTGATTTCTTTTGATGATTCACTGTCATTTACTGAAATAACTAAGACTGTTACAAATTGAAATCCGCATTTTATTTCCTTGCTTATTGTTAATCATGTATTCTTATACATATATATGTTCATATGGGTTGGGTTCCTATTGTCATGCAGTTCTACCCACATGACCCATCTGTGCTTGGTCTCTTCTGCCCCATCTCACTGAATGCTCTGTTCTTACAGCCCTCTATAATCCTTATGCTGTACAGCAAAACAATGAACAGATGTTGCTAATTAGTCTGATAGTGTTGAGGTTGTTAAAGTGTATCTGTCACCTACACAGCTTTTAGCACCATTAGATGTATTTATTTTAAACCATCTATTGCTTGTCCTTTTTTGCTTTCATTCATTGTGATTGTTTTAGATGTTGTAGGTTTCTACTCAGGGCATTTGGACATATTTTAATTTATGGGCCCACCTACATCAGTGTTAGTCATCAGCCTATCTCCCAGCTCACATCACAATTGTTTTGGGACCTGAAAATGTTAATTGTATATTTCTTGTGTGGATGCTGATATATCTGTAAAACCCAAGAGATTGGCAGTGACATTATTTGGAGAATTACTGATATAAAAATTGAGGGGATCCCAGTATGAATTATATCTGGTTTATGTCTCCAAGCCATAGCCATTCTTAGAAGTGGCTTTAGTGGCTAGAGCCTCAAATGTACAGGGCTATTCATTAACATGAGAGTTTAAAGTGAATTTTCAATTTAAGATAAAAATAGCCGTCGAAACTACCGAATTTCGTCCTAACAGAATGAGAACAGTTTCTCCATTTGTGTTAGGACGCAATTCGGGACTTTGCCTGTGGCTGCTCACTGTTTAAAAAAAAAAAAAAATTACCCTAGTGTCCCCCCTCCCGGGTCCCTACCTGTGCCGTGTGAGTGGGGACTCTTAAACTGAAGGGGGGACCTATTGCCCCAACCCGGCCCCCACCCATGAGCGGCGGGTAGGGGGCCCTAAATGACAATGGGGGACCTATTGTCCCCCCCCGGCCTCCAACCATGAGCGTCGGGTGGGGGGAACCTATTGTCCTCCCTCCAGCCCCCCACCCATAAGCAGCGGGTGGGAGCCCTAAATTACAATAGGGGGACCTATTGTCCTCCCCCCGGCCCCCACCAATGAGCGGTGGGTGGGGGCCCTAAATTACAATAAGAGGGGGACCTATTGTACTCCTCCCGGCCCCCACCCGCTGCTCATGGAATTTTCCCATGTTGTGTAAAATGACTGAGAGCAATTTGATTGGTTGGATTCCAAGCCAACCAATCAGATTGCTCTGAGTCATTTTACACAGCATGGGAAAATTCCAAAGAACTTTACTATGCTGTGTAAAATGACTAGCACTCTGGTTGGATTCCAAGCCAACTAATCAGAGTGCTCTGAGTTAAATTGCAGGGCGTGGGAAGGCTTTATAAGCCTTTCCCCTGTCTGCGCCGTGCCCTTGCCGGGTGAAGATGGCTAAATTATTAGCGTTGGGGGGGTTTTTTTGCGCTCTTTTTTTTATTTGATAAGTTTGACGGGTATGATGTTTTTTTTTTATTTGTTCTTTTTTGTGGCTGAAAAAAGAAGGTTTGAGAAAAAAGAAAACTTCTAATGGTAAGTATGATTTTTTTTCCAGGTATTTTTAGGGTGAGGGGGGTAGGTAGGTCATTTAATTTTATTTGGATAGGGGAGTGACTAGGGGCTTGGGGACCCCTAGTCACCAGGGCTATTTTTACACTTATCCCCTACCCGTCACCCATGGGTGGGGTTAGGGAGTGGACAATAGGTCCTCCTCCTTATTGTAATTTAGGGCCCCCACCCACTGCTCATGGGTGGGGGCTGGGGGGAGGACAATAGGTCCCCCCCCCTCTTATTGTAATTTAGGGTCCTCACCCTTTGCTCATGGGTGGGGGCCGGGGGGAGGACAGTAGGTCCCCTCCATTTTCATTTAGGGTCCCCACCTGCCGCTCGTGGGTGGGGGGTGAGGGAGAGGACAATAAGTTCCCCCGTCACGATTATAGTTGATCCAGCATGCAGAATAGTATCACACCTAGGACCAAGGATAACGTCTAACCGGACCTTAGAATGGCCGGACTTAACGTACCTGAGAATAGTCAAAATACTTGCCAAAGTCAGGGACACAGAAAGGGACACAATGATGATGAAAGCCAGAAGTCAAGGAAACCAGAAATTAGGGAAGTCAAAATGAAGCCAAAGTCAAATACCAGAAAAACGCAATCAGGAACACACTCTCGAATAACCAGCAAGTGGAAACCACGACAGGGCACTAACAGAAAGGTCATTTGGGTTTAAATAACCCTCCTTAGGCTGTAATTGGCTGTCTCTGACCTCTGAACCCAAAACGTGTGTCTATTAAGTGACGTTGCACACACGTTGGCTACATCTTTGATGTGGGCGGAGTTAAGTTTCCTATTAAAACCGGAACCACCGCGGCCGGCGTCTCTAGGAACACCATACTCGCTGGGGACCGGAATAGAAGGAAGTCAGGCAGCGGTTTGCAGCGACCAAGGTAAGTATGAAATTATTCTGTCGCCGTGGACGCTATGTTTCAGTACTGCAACGCCGGCAGAATAGCGGGGAGCCATAACAGTACCCCCCCACTTAAAGACCACCCACTGGGTGGGCAGGACCAGGTTTGAGGGGAAATTTGGCATGGAAGGAATGGATTTTGCAGCCCACATATATGTCCAAAGCTCAAACCCAAGATTGGCAGGCCCATAACCCTTCCAATCAACCAAATACTGCAGAGACCCAAAATAAAATTTGGAGTCGATTATAGAGGAGTCTTCATATTTCTCCTGTCCAGAAACATCCAAAGAAGGGGGAGGGTAAAAAGGGGTGGTATACCTGTTGCAGATAAGGGGCTTCAGTAGGGAGAGGCAGAGAATAAGACACAGGATTGACCCTGTGGATTATTCGAAAGGGGCCAATAAACCTAGGTGCAAACTTCATGCTAGGAAGCTTGAGTTTAATATTGTGTGTGGAGAGCCATACCCCGTTACCCACCTGGTAACCAGGGTTGGCACCATGCCTCTTATCAGCATGCATTTTGAAACGAGCAGCAGCTGTTTCCAAAGCCGTGTGGACCTTTGTCCAAGTCTCACGTATACATGTGAGATGGTCATCCAGAGTGGAAATAGTAGTGTCAGAGAATACCTGCAGGGAGGACAGTAGGATGACGACCGTTGTTAACAAAAAATGGACTATGTCCAGATGAGTCATGGGTAGCATTATTTCTGGTGAATTTGGCCCATGGTAGCAAATCAGACCAGTTTTCCTGAGTGCCATTAATAAAACATCTTAAATATTGTTCCAATGATTGGTTGGCTCTCTCAGCCGCACCATTGGTTTGAGGATGGTATGAAGATGAAAATGATAATTCTATACCCAACTGTTTGTTAAATGCTCTCCAAAATCATGACACAAATTGGGAACCCCTATCTGACACGATATTAATACCATGCAATCTGACTATTTTGCATATAAATATATGAGCCAGCTCTTGGGAAGAAGGTATCTATTTGAACGGAACAAAGTGTACCATTTTAGCAAAGCGGGCAACAACCATTAGGATGATGTTGTAGCCATTTGAAATAGGTAGTTCCACAATAAAGTCCATGGTCAAATGAGACCATGGAATACTGGGTATAGGAAGCAGTTGTAATAGCCCACAAGGTAGTTTATGGGGAACCTTAGAAACCGCACAAATAGTAAATGCCTCCACATACTCCCTGATG